GACCTCTCTGGTTGGTGGTCCCCATTGCTGTGACAGCAGCATCTACTCTCACTAATGTAATCTGGAAAGGAGTAGTGTCTGATCCAGACGGCTTGGCGGATTGAGGGCTGGAGAAGCCAGCCTCTGGGCTTGGCTTCTAGGAAGCAGTTTCCAGAATGAGTCTCTAGATTGGGTTGCTCAGGGGGCTGTTGCCCCTGCTGCCAGAGAGTGCCTCCGAGTAAAGCAGCTGCAGCTGCCTGCTCTGGGGTCATGCCACCCCAACCAGCCAGGGGCTGCGCCCACAGAGCAGAGCTCACTTCATCCTGTCTGCCCCAGAACTCGAGCCAACTCATCCTTCTCCAATAGTCCCATCTACGCAGACCCAGTCACCTCTGGAAGCCGCAACTGCAAGGCAGCCTGCAGAGTGCTGTCCAGCCTGGCATGCTGGGCGGGCTTGGGGTGGGCCCTGGGCGAGCCAGCCGCACTGTGTGCCCTGGAGGAGGGAAGGATGTAGGGATGGGGACGCGATGGCCACCATTCATGTGGGGCTCTTCCTGGAGTTCTTTGCCTGAGTGAATGAGCAGCCGGGGTGGACGGAGAGCGAACTGTGTGGTTGGCCAGCCTGGATGGTGCACTTGTGTGCGTTGTGCCCGACGGCACGGCGCTCATGCCATCTGCAACAGGAAAGGCCTCCTTGGAATTTGTCAAGGGTAAACAGGATAAAGGAGGTTAAGTATGCTGCAGATCCAGGCCACAGAGGCAGCGTCAGTTTTATAAAGCTGTATCTGATTCTGCTGTCTTGAACTATTTTAAGTTGAATTAATTTGCTTTTGCAGATGGGTAGTTTTCATTCCCCCACCCTCGCTGGTCCCCTGGCAGAGCCTGCAGTGGCTGCTCATTCACCACCCCCAGTCTTGTTCTTTGTCTCATGTCTACCCTCTGGTCCCCCTGGGGTGGGCATGCTCTGTCAGCAGGCTGGACTGGCCCCCTTGGTGGTGTCCTCTGGGTGTCCAGCACCAGCCTGGGCGTTACTGGTGTCGGCTCTCCACCTGGATGATGTGGGCAGGTATTGAGCCTCCCAGTTGCTTTCCTTGAGAGGAGTACGTGCCACTGGCTAGTCCCCATCCAATGGAGAGCCCCAGATCTCTTAACGGGGTCCAGTCGGGCCTCCGGGAAGTGGAACCAGGAAAGCCCTGCTTACTGTGGCCACATGGTTTCCCACCTCGGCTCCTCTGCCGGCCTCCCTTGTCCCTTGGCAGAGGTGGCCAGCCTCTAGACTTCCGCTGGGAGCAGTCTTCACATTCACACCGTTGGGGGAGGAAATGCGACAGCAGGGTCCAGCACTCCTACGGGCCCTGGCCACCTTCGGAGCCCCAGCTGCTCCTGGCCCTGTGTGCTGCCCTCGCCACTGCGGCTGTGCCTTGTCAAGGTGGGGCGGGGCATCCTGGAGGAAGCCATGGTGTCGGGCGACGAGCCAGTGGGCGACGGTGAACTGCGGTGGTGAGAGGGACCTTCGAGCTCAGCTCCGGGGACGGCCCCTGCCGCGCCTGTGGCTGTGCGGGCGTCTGCGGAACGGCACTGTCGGAGCGGATCCGTTGACGTCTGTATCTCGTCACGTCCGGCCTGCTCATCATTAGATGCCCTTTTTTCTCCTTTTTCTGTAGAGCACATGTGCTCCGGGGGGTGGGGGGCAGGGAGTGAGACACCATCTCTTGGGGGGGGGGGCCTGGCCCCCTTCTTTTCCAGTCTCTTCTGGGACCCTGCTGCCTTCACCACACACTGGCTGACCCCAGAAGAGCTCTTTTAGATCCATTTACACAGTTCGCTCCCAAATCACTTTTGTGCATATGAAGGAAAATAGAAACTTGTTGGAATGTTCCTAACGCTTCTGTGAAACACGTGGACTCCCTAGTCACCCCAGTGCCAGTCAGAGGGGGCAGTGCTGCATTTTTGTCACTGAACTTTTCTTCCAGCACCCTGGCACCCTGCTGTTAAGAGTGGCTCCCGTCAGCACGACTCTCCTTGTGGCACCGCGCCCTGGGTCCCAGTGTGCACAGACCACGTGCAGTTCCCGTCCTGCCTGCGCTATGAGACGGGGAGCCAGCTGTGTGGCTTGTAGTTGTTCTGAGGACTAAATAAAATAACAAGTGTGGGGTGTGCAGAGCAGCGTCTGGCTCGCGGCGGTCATCAATGAACACCGACCACTGTCACCATCGTCACTGCGTGGTTACGGTGCGCTGCAGGCCGTGCGTTCACGTGTTGTATGTGTCGCTGCCTTTCATCTTCCCAGCCTGTAGGCTCACCACCATTTGAGAGGGAGCTTTTCATTTCCGGTTGTCTGGTGTGATCCAGCTCCGAAGTGCAGCCTAGGAGCGCCTGCCCTTGAGCTTGTCACGGTGGGTGAGGGGGAGTTGGCTTCAGCTCCACTCTGAGCCCGACGCCTACCCATTGCCCGCTGCCCAGAGGGGTCTTTGACTCCACTGTCCTGTGGATAATCCTGCAGGTGTGGACACACGTGGTGCTGTGGGGCATGGCCTCGGGCCTCCGTGGGTGCCACAGGGAGACCGGGCCTGGGGACAGGGCCGTCACGCGTGGGGCTATGCGACATGGGCTGCGGTGGCACCGTGGCCCGTGGCTCAGCAGCTCGCAGTCGGCCGTCTCCATGCTCACCGCGTTATGATGCTTTAGGATCACAGGTGGGCTTCCTCGGGGCCACCTGAATGAGAGTATGGGCAGGACAGCTGAGAGGTGGGGGAGTGTGATCTGCCAGTATTCAGTAAGGGTCCTGCGAGGCACTTTTGAGGGATTTCTTGTTTAAAGAGAGATTTTTGCTATAGGGCGTGTATGTTTGCCAGAGACATAGAGACAAAAGGAGAAATCACCCACCTGGGCGATAGCCATACTGTGGTCCCTTCCTTTCCAGTCTCCTCTCAAGATCTTGTGCGGGCACACACACATGTTCGGCATGAGTTTTAAGCAGCTGGGTTCAGGATTTGAACCATATCAACTACATGGGAGTCCTGCAATGTAACTGCTGTGCCATCTGCTGGTCCCAAGAGATTTAGTCCAATATATACATATATACATACATATTACATATTTATTCTAAAAGATATACATGCATAATACTATAATTTGTTATAGAATATAGAATATATTTTCCTTGTTTCAAATGGATTGAAAACAACCTGGTGGGAACCAGGTACAGTCTTGGGCCTGGAAAGGCAGGATCTCATTTTGGGCAAACTTGGCTGGGATGGTGGTCAGTGTTTCCTTTTCCAGGCTGTGGGCTCAGACTGTTCAGACCAACTGGGTTTAGACTGTTAAGGGGACCAATAACACCCCTCCTGGTCAAGGAGGGGACACAGCTGCTGAATCCCCAGGGATAGGAATGGGGTGGAGAGGGGAGCCAGGGAGGTGGGCAGGGTGGACCGAAGGAGACTCATGGGGCACACAAGGTGCCCTGGACCTCATGCACAGATCTGGGTTCGGCCCTTGGAACCTGCTGTCCAGGTGATTATGCAGATTGAATATGTGTGATGCTTCCTAGTGGAAAGTTCCACTGTGAGCTGCTGATAGTTTGTAGCCTGGGTAAGTCGCATGGAGGTGGCCGAGAAGGCAGCTCCTGGAAAGGGAGCTCATGGCAAGGGCTCAGCCGCAGAGCTCGGGAGCAGACAGGGAGGTGTCCCACAGGAATGTGGCTGGAGCATCTGCCTAGCGGAGGGTTATGATGGTACCGTGTTCTCTTAGCGAGGACCCAGAACTCAGGGTTAGAGCCTGGGATCACCCCATGACCTGACAATCTGCCTGTGGGTTTGAGGGCTTGCTGGAGTCTGCGAACCCCTGTGGAGGGAGAGGACTGATTGAAGGGGACCCAAGTGCCAGGCTGATCTGTAGGCCACAAGACCTGGAGTCTGACCACAGGAGTGACCAGTACAGCCGAGCTCCAGAGCTTCATCCTGCAGCCGTACAACGGGACGGGAGTGCTGCTTTCTGCCATTGTGCAGGAGCGATATCATAAAGTTCCAGAAGACCTGTCACCCAGGGAAGCTCTCAAAGGCTCAACTTCAATTATTTTGATTTTAATTCTGGAAAACTGATGATAAATTATGTGAAACAGTATAAAGATTAAAGCACTTAATGAAAAACTTAGCCGTACTTAGACATCTTACCATCCAAATTATTTTCTATTATTTATGTATTATAAACATCCTTGTTCAGTTATACAGAATATACAGGAAAAGAGTATGTTTGTCAAAAGATTTTGCAAACTTAAGACCAGAAAGGCAAATAAGATATGTGTTCATGGAGGGAGTAGATTTCTGAACTGGTAAGTGAATGTGGTCATTTTGCAAATTTAAAACTCAATAACTTGAAAACACACACCTTTGTAGTTTAAGTACATTGTGGCACCTCTGGAACTGGGACGCCCCTCAGTGCTGGAGGTGCAGTGTTCAGAGCTCTTGGACAGAATGGGCAGCTACAGGAAGGAGGCGGGGCTGGCAGGGCACCGGGTCCAGGGGCTGCTGCAGTGCTGGTGCTGAGGCCAAGGAGGGGCAGCCGCCGTGGCCGCAGATGATGGCATTGTGAAATCCAATGGAGTATTAAAAAATAGTTCTGTGGAATTGCCACCCATCTCCTCTTAACGTGGAGATCTCCAGGTAGCCAGGAAACCTGAGAAAGCACTGGGCTTGCAGAGCCTCCTACTGGGAAGGGGCGTGACCGGGAGGCCTCCGTCGGTCGGGTCGGTCGGTCGGGGTCTCTGGTTGGGCACTCTGACGGTTCTTGCGCACTGCTGTCGGCACTGCAGTCCGCGTGAGTTAGGTGAAACCCTGCTGATGCGTGGAGTTTAACATGCCTGTTTTGTAAGTACATGCCATATTCCCCCCAACTAACTCAGTCTCTTGTGCACAGAGGAACTTAGATTCTCATACATCATTAAGTAACAGTGGATATTTTTTATTTGAATAAAGGGGGTTGTACCGTCGGTAACCACATTTGCCTATTTCCTTGATTGCAAGGGAGGAGACACCCATTGTCCGAGAAGAAAATCATGCGCTATATGTACCAGCTGTGCAGGTCCCTCGATCACATGCACAGGTACGTGCTGGGAGGTTCGGCAGCTCTCAGATGAACAGCCTGTTAGGGAGTCACTAAGCACAATTGAAGGAAGGCAGCAGTGGTGCAAGGTACGCGTGCTGCTCCACAGGGCTGCCTGCACGGGAGGGCTCTGGTTAAAGTCTAGAGACCTCCCCCAGAACCCTGGGCACCTGTGTGCCTGTGGCCTGGGGCTAGCTGGGGCGGAGGGCGGATCATGTCGTCCAGAGTCTGTTGGGGGTATTGCCCCTCTGTTTCTCTCCCTGTCTCTCTTGCTCATGTCACAAATAAATAAGTAAACTTAAAAAAAACCAAAAAACTGGGACCAGCAGCTGGCATAATGACTATGTTGCTGGACTCCCCTGTAGTCGACTACAGTTTGAGTTCCGGACCTGGTGGCTTAAACTCACGCCAGGCGTGTGTGTGTGAGTGCCCAAGATCCCGAGAGGAGAATGGAGAAGGGATTGCGGTGTGGCCATCCCCCCTGGGGAGTAATTTCTCCCTTTCTGTCTCTCTGTCTCTCTCTGTCTTTCTGGAGAGCACACGTGCCCTATAGCAAAAACCTCTCCAAAAAAAGAAATATACAACTGAAACGTGCCCGGCACCTGGGAAGGCACTGTCATGCCGTGGCTGAGGCCACAGGGGGCCAAGGGCTCAATTCTCAGCCCGGCCTAGGCAGGCCTGGCTTAAGTGCTGTGTGCCTGTGTCCTGTCCAGCTAGGAGGCTGGGGTAGGAGGACTAGGACATGGCGAGACCTTGTCGAAAATACCTGCCTTTGCCTCTTTTAAAAAATTAAATCAAATTTGAAGATTTTGAAATAATGGGGTATAATGAATTCTATTCTATTCTTTTATACTGAATACAGAAATGGAATATTTCACAGAGATGTCAAACCAGAAAATATATTGATAAAGGTAAGAGGTTTGAAATGAAAACATGCTATCAGAATAAAGGTAGAATATAAAACTGTTTTCACTGACAGTGTTTCCCATCCCTGGTAGGTGGATAGCATGTTTGTTGTAGTTTTTCTTTTTTCTCCTTTGTAAAAAGTGGTTGGTTTAACAGCATCCCAGCATCCCATCCCACCTGGAAGGGAGTTCCCCCCCACACTGTAGGCAGGGCCCGTTGACACGGCCATTCTGAGCACTGTGACCGTAAACGCTGTAGGGGCAGGACTGGATCCCAGTCTGTCTCACTGCAGGGCCACCAGAGCTCCCCGGACACACCGTGTCTGACTGGCTCTGGCCCCGCGTGGCTAGCAGAGCCCACACAGGTAGCTGAGAGCGGGGCCGTGGGGCTGGACGCCGGGGAGCGGGAGGTGTGATGGCACACAGCTGCGTGCAGGACCTGCTCAGGGGCCACGGCCGCCTCCCAGCCTTCAGAGCCCGTGGGTGTCTGGGAGCCTGCAGCCAGTGTACCCGAGACACGTCTCCACTTGCTCATCTGTTAGCGCTTCAGGCGCTTTGGCAGCCAGGGGTGATAGCTGACAGGGTGGCGCGGCGCGAGCCGTTCCATCGGACCCCGGCGGCTGTGTGCTGAGATGCTGCTCGGCCTTGCTTTCTCCCCTTTGCAGCAAGATGTCCTGAAATTAGGGGACTTTGGATCCTGCCGGAGTGTCTACTCCAAGCAGCCGTACACCGAGTACATCTCTACCCGCTGGTACCGGGCCCCGGAGTGTCTGCTCACCGATGGCTTCTACACGTACAAGATGGACCTGTGGAGTGCTGGCTGCGTGTTCTACGAGATTGCCAGGTACTGCTGCGGCCCCGCGCCTGTCGGGCCCCATAGCCAAAGGGCAGCAGGCGCCGGCTTCCTGCCTGCTACTTTGCTACCTCACTGTCCAGACTCTAGTCATTCTGGGTGCTTTTTGCCTTTTTTTTTTTTTTTTTTAATTAATTAAGTTATTAATATTTATTATTACTATTATTATTTTAATTTGACCAGAGAGAGACAGAGGAAAGCAAGAAAGCAAGCCACCAGGTCCGGGACTTGAATTGCAGTTGCTCATATAGGAATCCAGCGCCTTAACCGCCACGCCACCTGCCTACCTTTGTTTTTATTTTGTTTGTTTTCATGATTGAGTACATATGTGTGCACATATGAGCGTGAGAGAGAAGCACTGTCTGTCGCAGCATGCCACGGCCCCTCCCAACCCTCCAGCTCCGTGCTATTGCGGGTGTCTGTGTGCCCAACTTGTTTTCAGGCCGACCCAGGGATCCGAACCCCTTGTTGGCCATATGACTTTGCAGCCCTGCAGTCCAGTGCTGGGCTTGTGGTTTTGTTTTGCCTTAGTCTTTGCCATAGGGCATGTGCGCTCCCCAGAGAGACACAGAGACAGGAAAAGTGAGAGAGCATCCCCAGGAGGGGTGGCCATGCTGCAACCCTTTTTCTTTCATTTTCCTCTTGAGATTCTGGGCACACGCACACATACCCAGTGTGGTTTGTTTGTTTGTTTTAAATAATTATGTTACTTAAAATTATTGTCATTTTAATTTGACCAGAGAAAGAGTAGGAAAGTGAGAAAGCAAGCCACCAGGTCTGGGACTCGAATCGCAGTTGGCCATGTGGGATTTCAGCACCTTAATCACCATGCCACCTGCTTGTCCCACCAACCCAGCAAGTTTTTCTGGCTTTCCAGTCTCGGACTCAGAACTATAGTCAGCCATGTGGCCTCCCATCCCTTAACCACACCACCAGCTAGCCCTGTGGTGGCCCTGTAAACTTCAACAGTACGTTTACTAGGCTTTCATTTTACTTTTTGTCAAATACTTTTCCTTGTTTTTTTTTTTTTTTTTTTTTTTTGAGAAGTTTTTGCTGTAGGGCGCGTGCGCTCGCCAGACAGAGAGAGAGACATAGAGACAGAAAGTGAGAAATCACCCCCCAGGGGGGATGGTCACGCCGCAATCCCTTCTCCATTCTCCTCTCGGGATCTTGGGCACGCACGCACACGCGCCCAGCGTGAGTTCTAAGCCACCGGGTCCAGGATGCGAACCACGGTCGACTACGTGGGAGTCCAGAGACATAGCCATTATGCTAACTGCTGGTTCCCCTACTTTTCCTTGTTTTCACTGAGAAAGAACACTGTCAGTTTCTTCTCTCCTTCTGGCTCACCCAGCCCTGCATGGTGGCCTTGCAGTCAGGCTTGGTAATGAAACAACCAAAAAGCGAGTCTCGAGCATAGAGTGTGCTATGTGCCTCCTGCTCTGACCACCTGCATGGGGAGGTGTGAGCAGGAGCCCCAGGCCTCTCTGAGGGGCATGGTCATGTCAGGTAGGGTGCGCTGGCCTAGGATGTGGCACCTTTGCGGACAGTCAGATCTAGAACATCCCAATCTCAATCATCCCCCCACCTCCATCCCCCCAATCTCCATGCCCTCTTGACCCCCAGCCTTTGGGCTTCACCACAGGAAGGAGCTGAGGTCCAGGGAAGAAAGGAAAAGGGTTTGTCCCACTTGGAGGGGAAGAGGGTATCAAATTACAGAAGCCCTAGGAGGGCATGGGGCTGCCAGTCTGGGCTCACTGTCTGGTCAGCAGGTGCTGGCGAGTTTACTGTCTGGTGAGGCACACCAGAACAGAAGAGCCAGTCACCCGGGCTGCCTCCTGGTCCCACCACTCAACTGACTGCTCCAGAAATACGGACAGGTGTGACTTCGATCCTCCATGGGCCCTGGTAACATGTTGTTGACTTGGAAAGTTGAATGGCATGTCACTGAAGCCAGAAATCAACAGGCAGTCCTTTTTCTTTTCCTTTTTTAATAAACAAACAAACAAACGTGGTATAGGGTATGTGCACTTGCCAGAGAGAGGCCATCCCTGGGGGGGGATGGCCATACTGCAGTCCCCCCTCCTCTCAGGAGCTGGGGCATGCACATACACACACACACACCCAGTGCATTTCCCAAGCCACCAGGTCTAGGACTGGAACTGCACAGTTGGCCATGTGGGACCCAGCCGTCCTAACCACCACCCACTGGCTGGCCCGATCCTTTTTCTTGCACTGAAATCCCTCAAGTTAATTTTGAAGTTGTTAAGGGACTTCATGGTTCTGTAGCATCCAGCCAGAAGGCAAAGCAGTAAGGGTGACTGGGTTATGAAGCTGTGCTGAGCCTGGGCATTCCCCTTTCCCATTCCAGAGTGTTCCCTGTCACTCACACTTTCCTCTTGCCCGTAGTCACAAGGTACTGTCATTTTCCCGAGGAGAAGCTAGTGCCGCCACCAGAGCTGTTTTTAAACTCTGCCCGGGGCGTGTGCTGTGCACTGGGTTTACTTGCGCAGGTCTGTGAGCTTTCACCCACCGTTCCCAAGTCTGTGAACACCCCAAAGACCAGACGGCTTCCCAGAACTCTTACTGACAAAACCCAACCTGTCACCCCTTGAATTTGTCAACGAAGCTCACCTGGGCCATGGTGGTTCGTTGCAGAAAGTGGGAGTAGTCACAGTTCACGCAGACTCCCAAGCGTGCAGACAGAGGGGCGTGGATCTGTCTCTGGCCTCTTGGGAACGCACGCAGGACCCCAGGGGTGGGGGGGCAGAATGAGTGCAAGGACTGCGCCGTGGGTGCGGATGCCTTGAACTTCTACCTGTGAGTGGGCGAGCTGCCTGCAGTCCCAGCCCTGTCCTGACCACATGCCCTTGCTATGCCCTTCCAGTCTGCAGCCCCTTTTCCCTGGAGCAAATGAACTGGACCAGATCTCCAAAATCCACGACGTCATCGGCACTCCGGCCAGGAAGACTCTCAGCAAGTTCAAACAGTAGGTCTGGTGGCCGAGAGGCAGGCGTGCCGCCCCTTCCTGCTGCCCCTTCCTGCCCAGGGAGTGGGCAGGGCTGTTTCTGACCCCCTCCTGCCCTTTGCTCTCCAGGCCCCCATTCCTTCGAGGAGGGAGAGCCAGCGCAGTGGCTGCGGGGACACACCCGTCCCTTTGGGGGACCACTGAGGCATGCTCTTTCCGGAGCATCATGGGATTTCCCACTGTCTTTCTAAGGGTCTGGGAGTCGTATTTTGTCCCCCGAGCATTGTTTATATAGAACTTAGAATCTTGGGGTGAGAATGTCCCCTGGTTTGGACAACAGTGAGGAAAGTGCTGAACCCATATGCGGTGTGCCCAGGCTGCACCGGGTTTTGTTTGGATAAAGAAGAGGCTGCCGCTGAGGAGTCAGGGGCTTCCGAGGGATGGCCTTCGAGCTGGGGGTGAGCAGGTCCTGGGAGGGGGAGATGCCAGCGATCGCGGGTCCTCTCCTTCTCACATGGGAAGTAACATTATTAATCTTCCATGGGGAAGGTAGTTGACTCATGCTTGTAGCTTACTAGACCTCACGCCCTTCCTCAGCAGAGTTTGCTTTAGAGCAGTGGGAGGTCACAGCAACGTGGAGCGAAGGGTACAGAGTCCCCATGACCCCTTCCCCACGCACCGCCTCCCCGTTGTCCACATTCCCTCCAGAGATGGGCATGCGCTACATCCAGAGCTGCCACTGGTGCGCTGTCACCACCTAGGCCTGGCGTCTCTGGGGTGGCTCCTGCTGCTGTGGCTCTGCAGGTCGGACAGGCTGGTCCCGACGCCCTCTGTAGATTGTAAACCGTCGGAGTGCTGGCACCAGGTGCTCTCAGTAATGGATTGATTGTTCATTGTCGTTGGGCTTTCAATACAGGTCGAGAGCTATGAGTTTTGATTTTCCTTTTAAAAAGGGATCAGGAATACCTCTACTGACAACCAGTTTGTCCCCACAATGCCTTTCTCTCCTGCGCGCAATGGTGGCCTACGACCCCGACGACAGAATCGCTGCCCACCAGGCCCTCCAGCACCCCTACTTCCAAGAGCAGAGGTAGGCGCTCTGCTGGAGCTCCATGTGCCATTGGGGGAGACTGCTGGTTATGGAGACATGGGCGAGGGACTGGCCTCTGGAGAGTCCCTCAGTTCCCAGGAACAGCTCTGTACTGAACAGGGTTGGTGCCTCCTGGACCCCTGCCAAGTTGGCATATCCTCCCAAAGGCTGTTGGCACCTTTAGGCAAGAGTGAGGGGGTCATATGGGCCTTCGTGCAGTTCTGATGGGCCATCAGGAACCCCATGGAGGGCATTGGGACCACCGTCCCAGGGTGGTGGGCTCTGTGGCTCACGGGCGCCTGTTGCCACCTCCTGCCCCCGCCGTGGTGTAAGGCAGCCGAGGCACGCAGGAGCAGGCTGAGGGCTGTGCTCCGACACTACCCTGGGCGTCGAGATCTTGACCTCGTGTAATTTTGCAGGAGTGAGGGACCTGGGCTGCTTTACTGTCAGTGCCAGGGGGCCCGTTGAGACCCTGCAGATCCTGGTGTGCGCCCAGTGCAAACGCACCTTTGCGAAGAGCTGAGCAGCCCTGGGAGTCACCTGGTGGGGCTCCTGCTGAGCGGGGCCTGGGGGCGCCTGCTCTGAGCTCAACCAGCTCCACTCTTCCACACGCTCGTGAGGGCGACAAGGAAGAGGAAAGGCCGCTCCCCATCACCTCCGTGGAAGAGAAGAGCTGTGATGCAGGAGTGCGGCCCTTCTCAGTGTGGCCACCCCTTCTCTTCTCTGTCCCTGTAGGGCACTTGAGAATCAGGCTCTGGCCAGCCACAGGAAAGCCTGCTTTCCAGAGCACCCTGTGGCACCCATACCACTTGGAAACAGCTGGCACGCCATTTCGAAGGAGGGCAGGAGGCAGGTACTGTGTGAGGCCAGGGGGCTGGAAATTGCCCAGTCTAATGGGGACTGGGTGGCTAGGGTGGCCTGTGTCTCTCTGAGGAAGGTGCCACCTGTGGAGTATGGTAGCAGACCAGACTGTCGTGTCTATTCTGAAAGGGTGCCTCTTTTCTGTTTTAGAGGGTTTGCCATAGGGTATGTGTACTAGCCTGAGAGAGTTAAGAGACAGTGAGAAGGGAAGTGAGAAATCACCCCCAGGCAGTGGGGGGGGGCAGAGGGTAGGGATGGCCAGGCTACAATCTCTTCTTCATTCTCCTCCCAGGTTCTTGGGCACGCATACACACATGCCCGGCATGAGTTTCAAGCCTCTGGGTCCGGGACTTGAAATACTGTCACCTGGCCCCACGTCTCACCTTCCCACCTTGCTGGCTTCCACCAAGCCCCCACTATCAGTCACTCAGGCCTTGGCACTTCCCGCAGACCTGGGAGGAAGCGCCAGGCTCTGTGGCCCATGGGCGTCTGTCACCACCTCCTGCCCCTGCTGTGGTGTAAGGCAGCCGAGGCACGCAGGAGCAGGCCGAGGGCTGTGCTCCAGCACCACCCTGGGCGTCGAGATCTTGACCTCGTGTAATTTTTACCATGAACAGTTTCCTCCAACCATTAAAAAGGGAAAGAACGGGAACCAGCAATTAGCGTAATGGCTATGTCGCTGGACTCCCACGTAGTCGACCGCGGTTCGTGTCCCGGACCCGGTGGCTTAAAACTCACGCCGGGCGCGTGTGCGTGCGTGCCCAAGATCCCGAGAGGAGAATGGAGGAGAAGGGATTGCGGCGTGACCATCCCTCCTGGGGGGTGATTTCTCGCTTTCTGTCTCTATGTCTCTCTCTGTCTGTCTGGCGAGCGCACGCGCCCTACAGTGAAAATCTCTCAAAAAAAAAAAATTTTGATACAGAAAAAACATCTTTTTTTAGTTTTTTTTTTTTCCCCCATAGGGCATGTGCACACCCCAAAAAGTGGCTTGAAAATCACACTGGGCACGTGTGCATGTGTGGCCAAAATCCTAGGAAGAGAATTGGGAAGGGACTGTGGTGGGCCTTCACCCCCGGGGGCGATTTCTCATTCTCCTTCTCACTGTCTCTGTGTGGTGAGGCGATGGGCAGATACGGGGCAGGGGGCATCACTGTCTCTGTGTGGTGAGTTCACGTGCCCTATGGCAAGTGGAGGCGATGGGCAGATACGGGGCAGGGGGCATCAGGTACCTTGGCCTGGGAGCCCCCGGGGACCTATCATTCCTCAGCCTCCCCCAGCAGCAATCTAGTAAGCGGCGTTGCTCGCCAGAGGTCCTCGAGTGCAGGAACAGATGGTGGGCAGGTCCCCACCAGGGAGCCTGAGTCCCGGTGTGTGGGACGTGGTGGTGGTGTCACTCTGGGGGCATCTCGCAGTCGAGACGTTCTTCAGGCAGAGTGCCGACCTCGGTGTTGCTCCTGATTCCCGTGATGGGGAAGCCATCACACACTCACCTAGCTTTTGTTCTGTTTCAAGAAGCCATCACCACAGCGAGAAGGAGACCATCCTGGTAGGCAGGGGCCAGCCTGCCTAAGGGTGCTGCCCAGGCTGAAGCTTTCGGGAGTGACCAACCTGTCGTACTCCAGCCCTGTGCTGCAGTCGGTGTTCGGGCCCGGAGCGAGTGGCCAGGTCCCGGTGCTGAGGCCACTCCAGTGTGTGGGTGTGAGCAAGAAGGTAGCGTACGTCCCTGCTTCTCGGAGGGGTCTGGTTGCAGCCCCACCTAGGCCTCTGCTGAATGTCGTTTCTCTTTAACAGACAGATATGCAGAAGGGCGCTAAGCCTCACCTGAAACAGTACCGCCTGCCCACAATAGAAAGGAAAGGTGGGGGGCGCTGAGCCACGCTGTCTCACCCTGCGGATTAAGACCAGGAGCGAGCAGGCCAGGCCCCGTGGATCTGCTTCTGTGACACAGAGGGGGGCTTAGGACGCCTGGCGCAGGCCTCTGCGTGAGGTCTGCTGGCCCCTGAACGCTGTCCTGGGCCCAGCCTGCAGAGACCGGCCAGGCTGGCCTGCCGATCTCCTCACCCTGCCCATCTGACCCTACGCAGCTGTATGGTGTTCCGGCCACATATACTCGCGAAGACACCTCATTCTGGGGCAGGGAGTATCCTGTGACTTCACCCGAATCACATAGGCGAACTAGGTCCCGTCACGTGTTGAGGCCTGGTGCAAGGCGGGCTGCAGTCAGGCCTGCGCCAGCCCTCACTGGGGCACACGGCATGTTCACCGTGTGAGTGTCTCAGACGACACTACCAGGCACCCTGTTGTCATTAAAGAGCACGCCGTCCTTGTGGCGCTGCGTGTCATATTCTCTGCACTGGTGTGTCCTTATTGTCCGGCCCTTCCCTTTCAGCTTTCGTGAGCACCTCTGGGTAATTGAGCCCACGTTTAATTTTGCTCCTTTTGACACACCACTAAGGAGTGAAGGAGGGCCTGTTCCGGTGAGGCCGGCCACAGTGCCCTTTCCCTGCAGCGGGCGTCAAGGTTCCAGAGGGTACAGAGCGCTGCTCCTGACCTCTCGCTGGGCTCAGAGCGTTGTTTCTGTGGGAGGCCTCTGTGTCTTCCGGAAAGAAACCCGTTTCCCTGTGAGGCTAGGGTGGGAACCCGTGCAGAAGCGGTGGGTCCAGCTGGACCGGGCAGGGCACTGGCCAGGGTGCTGGCAGAGGGGCAGCATTCACCCCTTTTGGCCTCGGCCTGCAGCCTAGTGACTGCTTCTTTTCTTATCTTCTCAAACTTGGGATATTTGAAGCAAAACTCCCCTTCCCAGGTGAGTGCTTAGGTCCTCGTCATGTAGAGATGACCGTGACTCTGCTGTCTGTGTTCTTCCAGTGCCCCGGCCCTGCGCAGGTGGTAGAGCGGAGCAGGGGCACCAGGGTGCTGGCTGGTAGGGGGCGTGTGGCACCATGGGCAGGCACAGCTTGGAACCAGCACTTCGCAGTAGCTGGGGAAGCTCGGACAGTCTGGGCGGAGAGCTGAGTGGGGAGCGCGGTCCAGCTTAGGGCAGTGGGGAGACCAGGGAGGCCAAGAAGGGCAGCATCCAGAGAAGGGCAGCATCCATGAAAATCACGCCTGCTGGCAACTTAAGAGCTGGGGCTGTGGGGCGGGGTTTGAGCACAGTCCTTCCAGATCCAGGCGAGACCTTGTGTGGCGCTCAGCACAACCATGCCAGGCAGGAGGGTGCTTGGGAGTTGCAAGTCATGAGGGAGCCGAGCTGGGTGGAGAAAGGGAGACCAGACACAGGGCCTGACACCACTGCTGGCAAGGGCCGGTGAGGCAGCGGCCTGGAGGAGTGCGGGCAGCCATGCCTGGGCCTGAAGAGGGGTCTAGAGGCTAGGGGCACCAGAGAGCCACATCCTACAGAGGTGATGGCTGGGGGCTGCTCCTGTCCTTGAGGACATGGTGTGTTTAGGGATTCTGGCACCCCTTGCTGTCGGAAATATGGGGGAGATCTTTGCAGTTCTGTGGGTACTTCCTAAGAAGTCACGTGGTTGCAGACACCTGTGCCTGGGAAGCCAGTGGCCCTTCCTCCCCCAGCACTCTCCTCCCTGCACAGGGCAGCCAGCAGGCTCTTTGGAGGCAGGCCAGGACTGGGGAACATGCCCTCTCCACTGAGAGGGCCTCTGGGTTTCCTCTCAGTGTCTGGCCTCAGTGCTCTGAAGCTTGCAGTGGGCCTGGCACAGCAGGGCGGGGGGACCGGAGCCCAGCCGCTGGCCTCCCAGCAGGCAGGGCTGGCCCAAGTCGCCGCCACCTGGCTCCCTGGGTGCAGGGTGTTTCTCTGGTCCACAGCAGGACTCGAACAGCAGCTGGGTGTGGGATACCCAGTGTCCTGCAGACTTAGAGGAGGAGGAACCTGCTGGCCACCCTTGGGGCTTCCTGCATTTTGTTTGGAACTTGCACCTGACTGTTCTTGATGGAGAATACAGGTACGAGGAGGCAGCTGATTGACTCATGGTTCTCCTTGCCCTGCAGTAGGCAGGCACTGGCCAGAGCCAAGAGCAGAGGGGCCAAGCTGGCCTGGTGGGCCCCTGCCCAGCCCCACGCTGCCAGGCTGCGAGGGCTGCCAGCTGGGTCACTGATGTTCCACCGGCACTCGAATCTCCAGCGTCCAGGACAGAAGTCAGGATGGAGTTATGCCCCTCTCCTCCAGCCCTCTGGGGCAGTTACTCCACAACTGTCTGCTGAGTACCTGCCCTCTGCCCGTCTGTGTTACCTGCCTCCTTCTAGCCTGTCCAGAGGAAATGGGGGCCAAAGCCCCCC